GCGGAGCAGAGCTGCAGAGCACGCAGGCAGCGGGACAGTCCAGGTGCGCCGCGGCTGTCACACTGCTGGCGTCCTCTGAGGCTTTGCTCCCCATCTCCCTGGTCTGCTGGTCGGGAGACGGGGAGCAAAGCCGCAGAGCACTGGGGTGGCGGACCGCAGCGCATCTGGGCGTCCCACCACTCCCGTCCTCCGGGGCGAGAAAAGCCCCGTTCGTAACTGCGGATCCGACATAAGTCGGATCCGCGTAACTCGGAGACTGCCTGTAATTAGAACTCCCCAGGGTTTCCTGGGTCTCTAATTCGAGGTAGTGCATCCACATTAACAGAGCCCACCTCAGACTATTTTTGAGGATTCCCCATAGTGTGGAAATGTTATATTGATTTTGTTAAATCAGGAGTTCTTAAGTTCAATTTAATAATTGCAAAATAGTTTCTTAGTGCAGACATAGCCTTAGTAAATACTTAAAACTCAGTGTCTTATCCTCTATGGTACTGAGCATCCTCATCTCTCACAGAAGTTCATGGGCATAGCATCATATATGATTAGGCCTTCATTTAATTTGGGAAAAGTTAATAATTGTCTTATTCTTTAAAAAATGTTCACACCAGGAATATTTCTTTACATTCTCTTTTCTCCTACTTCATTTGCTGAACATTTGCTCACTGTTGTACAGAACTTAAAGGAAGATGCTGTCCCTGTTCTCAAGAGATTACAATGAAAGGCCTCAGCTCTGCAAAAGTCTCCAACCATGTGGATCCTTACTTTGCATGGTCCAACTGATTTTAATTTGACCTTTTATCTATATAAGGGTCTTCAAATGGTTAACAAATCAAAGGGTCCCAGCAGAAAGTTTATAATGTAGTAGAAAACTACTGAACTTTTCTCTTTCTAACCTTTGCTGTTGGGGAAAGTATAAGCATCTGAATTCAATTTTTGTACATACTTTCTAAATACAGATATGCTTGCTCTTATTTATTCTTAGTGAGAAACTGGGGTATTCTAAACCCAGCTTTCAAAAAGATCACCTCAGTTTTTGAATGAACAGTATATGCAGTAATCTCTCAATTACAAAGGGAGAGAACTAGAGTATGGATGTCTTTCCTGTGAACTAATTTGCTCTCAAGATTTAATTATTAAATATCTTGTTGTGAACTTTTGTATTGATCTTTATGTTTGCTAAAATTTCCTGCAGTTCACTGGACATATTCCTTGTATCTTTCTTCTTTTCTCTCCAGAAACTGTTGAATTTAGCTCCACCAGTAGTGCAGGTGGATTTAATCAGCTATATCTCCCATCTTCCTTCCTTCCTTAGTACAATCTGATCAAAGTTCATTTTAGACAATATTTGCTTCCTTTTTTATAGTACCCTTTATATCATATCTAGGTCAAAGTAACAAACCGACCAAAGTTTATGAGAGGAACTTACACAAAGTGCTAGAAGCTGGGCCATATCTGTATCTTATACCGTAAGCGGACTGAAGAGCATTAACAGCATTATAAGCTGCAGATTCCTGTGTATAGGGGGGAAAAATAGATACATTAGACTTCACATTAATGTCTGTAATGGGGCTGGAACTTTATCTACAAAATACGTGCTCCTAATGCAATTCTAGGTTTGATGGTCCCATGGACCCTAACTTAGCATATTTTCAGGAGAACTTGTGGTCTTTCAAAGAGACAGCATTAAACACAACAGCCTGCTATCCTAGTGTGAAGGAAATATAAGAGGTCAACATGGCTGCATCAGGAACTAGTCAAAAGGGAGCCTTGCAAAAAGTGGGTAGGTAGATAAATTACTAAGGATGAGGTCAAAACAACACTCAACACAAACAAATCAGAAAGGCTTTGGCACAAATAAGTTACAGCTAGCAAGGGACACAAAAGGCAGTAAGAAGAGATGCTATACATATATGAAGATCAACAGGAAAATGAATGGAAGTGTAGTTTCACTACTATTCAGGTAAAAATAGCTAATAAGGGATGACATCCAAAAGGTTAAAGCAAAATACATGAGTCTTCTATAAAAAGTTTAGTGTGAACAGATGCTTAACACAATTAATATTAATAACACAAGTTTGAATAGGGAAATAACTTGTTAATGAACATTTAGATAGGTAACTATATTCAAGTTGGGAGGGCCTGCTAAAATTTATCCTACGGTATTTAAGAAACTAGCTGAAGCAATCTCGGAACCAATATCTTCAGGAACCTACAGAGGACTCATGAAGTCCCAGAGTACTGGATAAGGTACTGTACTATATTTGCTTATCTTTAAAAGGGGAACAAAAGCCCCAGGTAATTGTAGAGCAGTCAGCTCAACTTTGATACCTGGAAAGATATTTGAAGAAATTGTTAAATAATCAATTTATGAACATCTAGGCTACATCTACACTTTCCTCTCTTGGGCAAGAAAATATACAAATGAGGCAAAGCGGTGAATATCATTGCGTCTCATTTGCATACTTAATGAGGTGCCATTTTTGTGCAAGAGGCTTTTGCGCAAAACCCCCCTCTTGTGCAAGAGCTGATCTTCCTGAAAAAAAGCAGCAGAATGGCTCTTGTGCAAGAGGGGGTTTTTGCACAAAAATGGCAGCTCATATGGCCATGCAATATTCTCCGCTTTGCCTCATTTGCATATTTTCTTGCTCAAGAGATGGCAGTGTAGTTGTAGCCCTACAGGATAATAAGGTGATAAGAAAGAGCCTACTTGGATTTGTCAATATCATGCCCAAACCAATCTCACTCACCTTATTAGACCAACTTCTGTTGGTGAAAGAGACAAGCTTTTGACCTGCTCTTCAGATCAAAATGGTACTACACCTCACAAGCTAAATACAAGATGGAACAGATAATTTGTTTAAAGCTAGTAGTTTACTTGAAAGGTCTTACCTGGCCACATAAAACACATTGTGACACCTCTGAAGTTATAGGACAAAAAAGTGCGGTTAGTAGGTTATGGATTGTTGTAATAAACCATAAATTCAGTGTCTTTATTAGTCATATAATTTTTAATGTCACAAAATTATGAATGGAAGCTTCCAGGCTCATCTTTTGAAGGCGTTGTGCTGGTTTTCTTTGAGGAGGAGGACAGAAAAGACCAGTATGGAGTGACTGTTTTGTAAAAATGTTCACCCACTGATAAGTTGGTTTTGTATTTTATCATTTGTGAGTTTATTAGGTGTGTAGTGATTGTCTGATTTCACCCACATAGTAGTTATTGGGGTAATGTCCCTGCATATTTTAATAGCCATGAGTAGGATCCATGAATCTTGAAATGTGTTGATTGTTGCAGCAGTGAAGATATCTGCAAGTGTTTGTGTCTATTTTAGCAAAGTCTGGTACCACTTTGAGTTTGTGGATTCTGGACTGAGAAGATGTGAAGATTCCTTTCAGGATGTGTTCTCCACAAAGCATCGGTTGTAATTGTTTAATGATGCCCCATATGGGCTCTGGTATTTCATTTGTCCAACAATTAGGGTTATACAAAATTTGTTTTGGACTGGGCAGGGAGCTCAGTCTGTATGTGGTTTTCACTTGAGCAGAAACTAATTTTTATCCAAGAACAAATTCCATTGTACTCATTTAGAATCCCTTAGATTATTGGTTTGTGCTTATAGTTTCTTCTGTTGGTTTGTAATAGAAGAAACGTACTCCCAACCCCACAAGGGGGAAAGAATACCTGGAGCTAGGAAATTAAATTAATATTAAAATGAGGTTCTGTGGGAAATTCAACAGGTTTGGAGGTAGGAGTGATCCTGTGTAGACTGGCCATTTCCCAGTGCTGCTCCTACCTTACCAATTAGCCCAAAATACAGAGAAACTCAGTGTAGTTCTTTGAGATCTGTGAAAGGGGGTGGGGATGTTACTTAGACTTATTTCTCTTCTGATATACATTTGAAGTGTTGGTAATGCTGCTAGACAGTACTGACCTCCCATAGTTCGGCAAATTCTCTGGTTCAGCACTGGTCAGGTGCTGAAGGTGCCAAACTAGAGAGGTCAACTTGTAGTAAATTAAAATTAAAAAAGAAATCCTACAGATTAAAATAACTGGTGCAGACATATACCAAACAATGACTGAAGTACAGCTTCCCTTTAAAGATCTTAATGGGCTTTAGCTGAAACTTAATAATGGAGTTAGAGTAGAATATTTATTCATGTTGTTACCAGTATACTGCACTCCAATTTCAAAGCATCACTGAATAATTTACCACTTTAACTGAAACAGTGACTGACAGCACCCTAGCATGTAGTGGACTGGACAGAAACATCTTTTCTTTCTGCTCAGGAATACTTAAAGACCCTATTTACACTAAAATGTTCCTAATCTCACCTGTACGTGGTGGTCCCTGGAATAGCTTTCACTTGCTGGCTAACCACAGTGCATGGAATCCATCTGAACCAATAAAGCGCTCTCAGTCAACCACAGGAGAAGGAAATGGGATAGAAGTTTCATTATAATTCTGCTTTCCTTCACTTCCTCCACAGTACAGCTCTTCACAAATGTTCAAGTGAGCTGAAGCTTTACCATATTTGATTATGGTAGATACTTTAAATTAATACATCTTGATGCTAAAATGGCACTAACCATTAGCTATAGGTAAATAATATGAAACTACATTCACATTATGTAAACAAACAGTCTTTTTAGCTGCCCACACTGATGTCTGTACATTAAGACAGTCAAACTCATGCCCTGGAGAATAAATGCTGATGGGTTTGGAAAATGGTTTTAAAAATACAAGTTGTATTATCATATGAGTACTATCCATTCTGCACAAATTCCCTTCTCTGTGATACTACAGCATACTGGTGCCTCAGGCTTCCTGCAATAGTTCACTTCTGTTTGCATACTGGAACCTTAGTAAATCTACCAACTGCTTCACGCTTACATTTGTTTCTCTTCTAGGTTTTCTGCTTGTGCTGAACTAGCTCAGCCATATAAAAGTACTTTTTGTCTCCTTACCCCCAAAAATATTCAAGGAGCTAGTGAGATTGAAATACAAAGAGATGCAAAGGCCAAGATGTCAATAGAACATTAATACAGTCTATTTTGATTGCTTTATATTTAAAAGCCATAATTGTCCAGAGATGTTGGCTCCTAACTGGAGATTATTGTTAAAGGTGCCTTTTGTTGCTTTTCAAATATCTGCTCCACTTAATATCTCACTGGTTCTCAAAGGGCCTGATCCAAGGTCCAGTGAAGTCAATGGAAAGGCTTCCACTGATCCAATGAACAGACCCATAATAGTTAAACCAACTTCCTCTAATGCAGTGGTCCCCAACCACCTGAGGCTGCTGGGCGCCAGGGGGCATGGCCGTTTGCCTGCTGGGACACTTGGGCGCCCGGGGGTGGGGCTCCCCCCATAGCCGCGCACCTGGGGCCGGCGCCCCCCCCCCGGCCAGGAGCTGTGCGCCCA